ATATATATATATATATTCAGTTTAATGGCGGACTATAACGTTTCGAACGCAGTCAATACACAAAATGGTGATATTTTCCACTAGGTTAGAGTGGGACTCGTTGTTTTGAAGTTTATTTTTGGAATCCAGATAGACCGAATGGGTGTCTGTACATGGGAGGAAACCGACTTTCCTATTCAGTATTCACTACATAGTTTTATTCAGAACGTACTAGGTAGTCCTGTTCTGCTTGTTTTAACAATGTCATTCGCGCCTCTTCTAACTGCTTTCGATAGGCAGCTGTAGCCTCATAGGCTTTGTCGGCATCCGTGGTCTCTGGTAGTGTAAACTTTTGATCCAAGAGCCGCTCGGTAGATCTGACCAAGGTGTTGATTCGATCAAGCGCAGTGCCATGTAGATACTTTAGTTTATCCATACGATTCAACTCCGCTGACCGGACAACCTGGAGAAAAAAAAGTAAAATGGAAAGAATCGATTCTAAAAGTACTTTGGTTTGAGTCTTTTCATGGAAGACTAAGGGAATTAATTCTCTTTTGTAAGTGATTCCGCGAGTTTCACAAGTGCAAAGAAGCGGGAAAGGCTTACAGGATAGTTATGGAACTGTGGATACACACCCACACATAACTAGCGAGTAAAGAAAATATGTTCCATGAGTATGGTGACCGCCGCTGCTCCGAGAATATGGTGCACCAAACGCTATCAAGACGACCAATTTTTACTGCATTCTCTCGGTTCCCAGTCAGAATAGAACACCAATAGAACACCTCAGATTGATGGCCGCAGAATTTATGATTGATTTTGATTCCCTACGCACAAAACTCCTGCATTCCGATGCTAAGAAGATGCAAAACCTTATCGTTGCCACTACTAACCTAAGGTGTTACCAACCCCACTTGATATACGTCATCCGACTGCTGACATCCCAAGGCTACCACACCAGTGTCCTCGATCCTGATTGGTTCTCTGTGATGATATGTGTGCGGACCGTTTACGTCAACTAAAGAATGACGCATGAATCCTAATTGCTAGTGACAGACGGAGATAACATATGTGCCTACATGGCTGCCAAAACAAAGATCAGGTGCAAGGAAACCGAATTCATCCGATTGAAATCGAAAGGAGCCAATTTTCCAGCTAAACATCTTGGTTACCGTTTGAAACAAACAGGGAATCATAGTAAAGTCTGTTTGACAGGGAGTAACCGAAGTCGCTGAAGATTTCACACAACCCCAAGACGAGTACATCGAGTGTGACAATCTCTCTCAGTTGAAATTTCAGTGTCAGGCTTGTCCAGCAACCGCTGCAAGACCTCCTGGATTTCAAACAGCTGGTAACTTTTTAGGAAAAAGAAAGAGTAAGAAAACGATGTGCAGTGATGACAAAAAGCATGATCTGGAGGGTTCAGCTTGCTCGCCTGACACGAAATGGGAAAAAGTGGTGCGCATGATAGCCGAGGACCTTTTATAGGTTGAGCGCCATTTCTGTGGGAGATAATGTGGTGTTTTGTACCTTTATTTTGCTTCCATTATAACATTACGTATTTTGTCAATTGCATAGCCGTTTTTGCTTGAATACGAAAAACCACAGAAAACGCGCACCTGTACAATTTCACGCAATACAAACGTGGTCACGTGCTCCGACTCTCTCTTCTGATTTCGCTAACGCTTACAGCGGTCATTCACGAGTCTCATGCGCTAACTCTGGTATCAAGACATTTCAGACTACCTTCGGAATCTATTATATATGTGGGAACTGTTCAGAAGAAGACCACTGGACAACCATGATTGGATTATTGTTTGTTCGCTGACCCAGGCCGACGACGAACTAGTTTGAGGAGAACAATTAATAGTGTGTCTGTTCTACCTGACCTCTTTATTATTGTACGCTAAAACTAGCGTTATTATTGTTATTTCTTTGTCACACACTCCTTGTAAAGTAGCTTTTTGGGTAGCCAGACCACCACAATAAAAGTGGAAAAGGTGCGCTGGCATCCCAAATCGAGTCAACTTTACACTTCCTCGTGATTGTTTGAAAAGTTCCCCTTATGTAGTCAAGTCTCACTTTTATTTAAATTCTCCAGAAGCGTATATCCTTGGTCGCGTCGGGTTGTGAACTCCGGACATCTGCATTTGGATTCGGTGTGGACCCAGGAGAATAACTGCGCCAGGACATGAGAAGGACTGTTCATACTAGAGCGATGTAAACGCCAACTTTACAAATCCCACAACCTACTAGGGAGTAGTCAGGTTCCTGACAAATTCGACGCATGCGTTACACCAAATAAAAACCCAAACTGACGTTGCAGACACAGTACCTCCTGTTTATGACGACCACTCATGTAACAACTTCCTATCCTTCACGGCCGTATGGCCGTAAACGCTAGCCACAAGGAACAGCTTAATCGTTCCCCGGAATTTCGACAACTTGTCTAATACAACCATATCAAAAACCTTTATTTAGAGAACAGACTTGTTAAGGAACCATTTGTACAACAGACGCCCATTAAGAAATGGCGTTTTCTACTGAATCTGACACTGCACACCACTTACTTCTTGACTGATTTCATCCCAGATAGAATTCACACCCGCCAGTTCATCATCCAATGCAGATGCCGCAGAAATGTCACAATGACCCATCAACTCGTGACCCAAGTCATTCAAGGCAGAAATACGGGCTCGCCACTGAGACAGTTCTTCGTATAGCCGAACTCGATCGGCCGAAGTCGCTGATTCATCGTTCAAAATTCTCCTCGCGTTTGCAACCCAGGAATTGAGGGCAGCTTTCTCCTGCACAGAAACGAGAAAGCCAGGAATAACTATTGCCGAACAAGCCATGGGCAACAGCACCAGCATCCTATCTTCTATACGCACTTACCGCCTCGTAAGACTCCCACTTCAGCTCCAACTCTTCGAGGTGATGTTGCAGTTCTTCAACGTCTCTCCAAGCATCTAACCAGCGAGTTCTGATGGAGCTCAGAAACATGCTTGCTTCTTTGCGTTCCGTTTCCGCACTATCAACCAGCATGGCAGTTCCACCGCCAGCACACATGGAAAGAAATTGGCTGGAAGCGGATGTGAAAAATTGGTGTTTTTCGTCTCCAGACATGGCCTCCAGTTGTCTGCGACGTTCTGCCACACCCGTAGCTTCGTCATCACGCGAAGATGTCAACTCAGCCAGCTGCATTAAATCTGTATTGACACCATCTGGGTAACTGAAGGCCGCCAGATACTCCTAGAATGTAAGGATATCGACAGTTGCAGATAGACGTCAGTCTATTGGGTCGAGAAACTTTGGAACCGTTGCCAAAGTATATGTTCACGCAAATGTTGGCCAGGAACGGTGGCATTTCGAACTGGTAATAATCGCTATTGATGGGTGTATCTGGCTAACCTTTTAGACTGGCTGATCACCCACAGCGATCAGGGCAAGTATAGATAGATTTTTCACCTATTTGTCGTTGCCGGTGAATTTTCAGACACAATCGTTTTACCCGAGATAAAGACATGTGTAGGTAAAAAAAAGAACCGAGAAGCAATTAGGAACCTGAGAGTAAACCGAGAAGGACTTGGCGGGACGAAGATGCCTCAAGATGGAGAAAAATCATACGAGGCACCCCATTCTCCCATAGATTGAATCTAAATTGCAGTAGAAACCGACCGGTCTCGTAGCTTTCTGGAGAAATGATTCTGTTATTGTGTTTCAAACGAGGGTTTGAAGAGCTCGTGGGTTGCACAGTTTCCTCAGAATTAGGGATTCCTATCCATCAGAACATCTTTAAATACGTGGCTAGGTGGATAAGGGAAAATTGTATATAACACTATCTTAGTCACTCTTATTCAACCACTTATATTCGAACAAGGTCGTACGGGACAGATGAACATTCATGTATTATACATCCCATTTGGAGACTTGCTTGGCCTATGTGCCACATTCAGCAGCGGACAAGAAGAATCCCTGACCAAAGCTGTCAAAATGCAATCTAGACTGTTCAACGCTACTCACATTTATTGCTTTACAACTAATTAGTCAACGTTACAAAGAACGGAAACACGCTCCCATCCCGCGAATCGGACTCACTCTGATTCGTTCCAAATGGGAACGAACTTCACTTCGTTGTTTGCATCGAACCGAATGCCAGGTGCTCAGATTAGTTCTCAGTTCATCCACTCTATGTGCTAATTTCCATCGGAGCGCGATCCGTTCCAATCGGCGTTTGGCCGGAGGCCCATCCAATTCCACACCAAGAATACGGTTTTCCAGTGCAACAACGATTGTTTCCGGCAAACGAACCTCCAGTTTAGCCAAAGACTCTGGATCGTTGGCAGCCTTTTCAGCTGCCTTTTGTAGTTCTATATTCTTCTCCTTGAGTCGAGTGAAAAGTGCTTTTATCTCTCCAAATTTTGCCATTGACTCCTACGTCGAAAACGAGGATGAAACAAAGTTGTACAGAACAGAGGAGGATCCGAACGGAGACAACTGAGATGAAACGAACGAACTTTTCATACTTGAACCAAGAGAGCTTTCACCGGTGTGGCTGTGATTTGACATTGCGGCCTGATGAACACAATAAGGCTAGCAATCCATCAAATATGCCAGCTAAGTATCCGAGACGATAGAAGCTCGTGTTGGCATCTATTAATTCAGCAGTGACTAAGCAGTGACACAAAACAGAAGGCTCAAGGATGACACATAAAAATGAACATGAAGTTTTAAATAATTGCTGGGCGCTAATTGGACGACTTGAGGGTTCGGCTTCCCAGAGTAGCCAACATATCCAGGAGACAGTGGATACGTCAGTTCCTACTTGTGTGAAGCTAGAATTGAGGAAATATTCGTTGGAATAAAACCACAAAGTCGCATACCTCGTGTTCAGCTAGACATTTTTCGACGAGCTCAACACGTTCTGCTAGTGATAGCTTTGCTCCATCAGGGGACATCTCTAGCCCAAGTTGTCCGGCCACGTCGGCATCTTTGATCAAACGCCGTTCGATCTGCGCCAACCAGCGACCTATCGGGTGCCAGTCTCCTGGAAGTGCATCATCCAAGCGCCACCGCCATTCATCCAAGTGTGGTTTCACCCGATTCCACTCCGCCTGAATCTGATCCAGCTCCTCTGGTCTTAGGCCAATAAGTAGACCCTGTCGCTTGCGGTCTGTCAGTTCCAACATATACGCGGCAAGGCTTTCGTGTTCCATTTGAGCTTGCATAAGAAACTAAAAGTGGTATAACATAAGAGACAATTTATACCTAACAGTATTATCGTAAGAACTGGGCCGTCACAACTATTTGGAAGGGACGCTGAGTCCCACTCCATAAAAAGTCCTCTCAACAAAGAAATTGGGAAAGATTGCACAATAAACTCAGTTACGGAAATATGGAAGTGGTTCCTAGAGGGGACGATCCACCATGTCATGGTTGGATGTGCACTTGCCTCACTGTCTGAACGATACAGCTCCATTCACCCAGAACTCATGACTTTGGGTAATTCCGAAACCCGTGGCAGCCGAGACAAACCTGTGTATGCCTTTAAGGTGGCTGAAACACTCAGAAGTGTCTTGTTCTTCGATCTCGTCTATCTCCACTGTTCGGGGACGGCACTTAATGTTCGGATATCCACTAGACCAAAGTATTATTTTAGGTAGTGCGGTGGAAGCGATCTAAAGTTGCCAACATCCCACAGCTGGTTCAACCCTAATCTGGGTCCATTCGACTGTTGATCTCACTTAAAAGTTTGCTTGCTCAAAAATGACAAATTAAATGGGCATCAACGGACCGCAGATGGCCTTGTCCAAAATAGTGAAACAAGCACAAACAGGGCCCAACTCAGTTTAGCCGAATCTCCGCTCCTTCTGCGTCTGTAACGACTCCACTTTACTTAACTAACTTTTCAACGACCTCACTTAGTTTGATCGTTAACTTTGAAACATGGGTCTGCATTTGTGCAGCACATTCAGTTGAAGAATACTATAAACAGGAGATTTAGTTGGCTCCTTCATGAAAACCAAATTGATATGCTAAATGGTTGAAAATTCAATTGAGAAAAGTGGAGCCTTTACAGGCCAACTCGTCTTCATCCGAACACAGAGTGGAGCGGGACTAATCCGAGTAACCGAAATTCGGTTTGGTACGATGAAAGTGTTTGAAAAATTCCAATAGTGTAACTTTTCAGCTATCCTCCTTTACGCTTAATGTCAGTCTTTATTGGCAGACAGACCTAGAGCTGTCACCGTGTAATGGTGGTCAGGCTTCTGTGCTGCAATGATCCTGCGGGCTATACTGGCTGGGCTTCAGATCCTAAAGGTTTAACCACGCCAGAAATACTAAAGGCGAGCAGCCCGACGAAGAAATGCGAGGAATCGCATTACGAGGTGGTCTGGAGGTAAAGTCGTACTGTCCTCTGCGATAGGAATGTGAAGACAGCAAGGCATTTTTCCCCAGGCGACCAGCATGTTCACATTTACGGAAGCAGCGATGCTACCTCCCCCTAGGAAGGAAGGGTTTGGAAAGACCGGCCCTAAAATCCGCACATTCCGATCGCCAACTGGTTGGCCGTGACCACCGGCGCGGTCGAATTACTTTCAAAACCAAAAAATTCGGTGCTGTTCATTAGGCACCTGCCGTGCACAGATGCACTAGGAATGAGACAGTTATGTCTTGCTACCTGCGTCCTCGGGCCTAGCCGGCCCATGCGGTCAGATGGGTCATTGGATCTAGAAAGGATCTCCCAAGAAAGGCCCGCTGCCTCGAATTTCAGACTTTTGAGTCAGAGGCTGAGGGCAGGGTCCTTGAACGAAAGCGTACATCCACCCACAGCCTTTTGGGTTAGACTTTTGAGCCAAAGGTACCTGAACCAACCCCCCCTCCTCGGCCTGGGCAACCGAGTAGTATCATTCACCCTCTCAACTTTTCGCTCAACAGCCTTTTGATTGACATTCAGAAGTTGTTTTCTCACTAACCTAGATTCCCCCTCCTCTGGGCAACCGAGTAGTATCATTCACCCTCTCAACTTTTCGCTCAACAGCCTTTTGATTGACATTCAGAAGTTGTTTTCTCACTAACCTAGATTGGTTGTGCGAACTGCCGAAGAACTGATTGATCGTAATGGTTTTGACAGAGAAACAGTTTCGGTTTACAACGAACCCCAGGCTGGCGCGCATACATACAAGCCTGGTGGAAAGGAAAAAATAAGAAGTAGGGAAACCACTGCTTCCAACCAGTAATACTCACTTCGAATTCGCTGAAATAATCTTCTGGTTGAATCGGTCCATGGCGCACCCGAGCAATCAGTTCTTTAATATTTATCAGAAAAGTGCGCTCCTTCTCCGCTTGTTCATTCTCTACAGTGGCCTGTAGGGGGAATATTTCGGAATAAATAAGTTTCATGTAGTTATCTCAGAGGATGGTGGACAGGAAAGTATAGAGACCACAACACCAGTCCATCAATGGAACAGTGAGACCGACGAGGCCAAAAATACAACAAAACAGCCGGGGGACCTGTGCAGACAGTCGTGAAGATCACAACAAATGTACGAGACACCAATGATCACCTCGTCCTCCAAATGTAAGACGGGGACAATGTTTCGTGTGGCTTTTGGTGGTTCTGCAGTCACTTTGATTCGGGCCATCGCCTGACACCGAGAAACATTTTTAGCCGCACGACAAAGGCGAAGTCCAGCGTAAGATTTGGCACGTACATTTCGATGTGGTGATATCGGGTAGTGCGGCGAGCCAGATGATTGGGAAGACCCGGGCATTCGGGTAGGCAATGAGGTGGATAAAACTCCCGACGCGAAGGAGTTCCCTAACGGAGACAAGCTTCCATCCAATGATTCCGGAGGTGTGGTGGCAAGAATAAGACTACGGATAGCCTCATCATCCATCGAATTCACACCACCGTAACTAACTCGACGCGATCGACGCCAATCGCTTAGACCGGATGCAGTGGAAGAGCTAAGCACCAGTGACGGATCTATATCCGGATCTGGTTCGACTGAGGCTTGAGTAGTTGGACTGAGTTGATGCTTGGAGGATTTGGAGGACCTCCTCACTCGCTCCGCATTGGAAGACTTTCGGGATTTTCTTTCATCGCTTCGTTTTGGAGATTCGGAGGGCTTGGCCGTCTTTTTCTTGAATAGAAGTGGACAGAATTTCGTACGCTGATCAAACCTATCGTATGTTCACTCAGATACCGAAAGTAAAATATTCACGAGCAAGTTGAGGTCACCATATGAAACAAATGACGTAGTTCGAGTCACAGCGAATCGGCTGACAGAGCAAACTATCGGTACTATTAACCTGAACTCATATGGAGAAAAAGCGAAACTTACCGCATCCGACTTGGGTTCTGCTAAACTCGGAGATTCTCTGACAAACTGAGCCACATACGTCATGATTGAACGCTCATCCGGTTTGTCAACGTCCACATCTTCGGTGAAGTCAAGTGAGAGGACAACAGTCATAAGCAGCAAACCAATCGACAGTTAACTAAGTGTCACACAGTCACATTCTAAATTTCTACAAACACAGACACCAAAATAAACGGACCAAGTGTGTTTTTAGCTAGGAGACGGTACAAAATGGCGGTCGTATAATGATACCATGGAACTAGAAGCTGTAAAAAAACCCACCATAGCGTCACTAACCACTGACCTATCTCGAGCTCAGTGGTTACTGATCGGTAGGTTTGTAGTTCGAACCCAACCTCAGCATCTCGACTGCTCTTGTCTAGACTTGAGCAACTAGCCATTATCTCATCTCTCGTGCTTTTTTCGAGTGGCCTGGCAGTTAGGCACCAACAGGGTGTTACAACTGAACGATTGTTATCGATTATTATTGTTAATAGCATAGCGGCAAGCCGGATATCCGGTCGTATCACCACGGACAGTTAAGGTAACGGTATTTTAGTGAGTTGACCCAATTTGGTCAGTAGGCGAGAACCTGTAGACCTTCAGTACTGCTACTGTTTTTTGCCGTACCAACGCTTCCTGAATCTGACAAAATCTCTTCTTTCTTGAGTTTCCTTTTGTAGGGCGACCACTACAACCGCATCTATCGGAAAGGTGAGTGAGGTCATCTCCAAAGAGAGCATGTGATCCGGTGCAATGGAAGTACATCTCTTCACTCCTGTCTTGCTTTCAGGGAAAGAGTGATTAGCCTACTTTGGTAGAATTACTTGGAGAGGACTACTTTTCAAGTAACCCTGTCGTCTTAGAGGAAATGGGGAAAAGTCCCCCGGAATAGAATCCATTTTGCTATGAGGGTTGAGACACTTGAATTGCAACCATCTCGGTTCTCCAGTCTCTACGATGGCCTCACCCCATAACACGCGCATGCATACAGCATATTAGTCCAGTCGCATCCTGTGATTTAGAGGTACCTTTGAAATCAACCGAGGGTTTTCAGGTATCTTAAACTCTTTTCACCCCCAGGTGGAAACAAGTTATGTTCTTTTTCAAACCAACTTAATTACATGCGAGCCTTCTGTTCTGGACACGATTCGATAGGCTTCATCTCTCATCCCACCTATAGGTTGAGCTCCCTTGGACGGGAAGCCGGTGGTCAAACTGGTAAGCAGATTAGTCCATCTGTTTTCGAATGGAACAGTTTCTGCAGATAGGCTACCCGAGCAATTCCAAACGCTGTTTTTTCGCATGCGTATGTAATCCGGTTCTTGAGATTTGGAGTTATTTACCGACACGTCCCAGAAACAATCATTCATCTTACCATCCACATTGCTGAGGCCTGTTCACTCTACCCACACCCGTTGATCAGCCAATATGTTCCAACCTACCAAGCAGAGATAGTAGTGGGTGGAACGGGTAATAAGATCTCCCGTTCAAATTATTGCATTCACCTTCTCACCATATCGTTCAGAGGAACGCTTTGCTTGATTTATGGTGGACATTACTTCAACTTTGAGAAACCAGGGAAAGCAGAGAAAACCAAGTGACCTGAGTGATATTTCGCATACCACCTGATTCGTTCGTCTTCGTTTCATACACTGAATATGTACTGTGAAAGAAGTCACAGCGCTATAGAATTCTACAGGCAACCGGTTATGGCGACATGATAGATTCTAATGTGAGTTATCAGACAAAAAGGGCACAGGACCTGAAGTAGACCAAATGTTGCAAACAGGTGCATTTTCTCCAAAAACAAGCTCGGAAGAAGACTTATCCTATTGGCACTTCATAGGAACATCTCTCAACATTTAACAATCCTCCCGATTGTAGTTGCTGACTGAGGTTGAAAAGTACGCAACACAAAACTACTCACCTTCGGGATCCAAAAGACGAGGAATCCCAAGTTTGGATTCAGCCACCTGAAATGCGTGTTCCAACTTTTCGCGATTGGTCAACTTTTCAGTCGCTTTGATATCGATCGAATTGGGCTTCAGCCAATTGATGAGAGCGCGGAAGACTTTTCCATCTCGCCAACAGGTACCGAAATCGGTAACTTTGAAGTTCAAAGGCCTAAAAAATAAATAAGTCGGCATGATGACGACGTTTGAAGTTGGGGGCTTTCCTCTGCATCAAGCCAACACTTATCGCAGCAACTTACGGATCATGAGTGGAAAGCGACTGCTCAACCCATGTCAGCAGGGCCTGTCGACCTGCACCGGCTCGGGGAATTTGAGGAGTCTCCGCAACCGCCCTCGGAGACGTCCCTGTGGAAGAGGCGGGTGGTAGAAAGATGGGTACGGTTGCATTTGTATTGGAACCCAATAGCGAAGCTCCATCGCCCAGTCGTCTTTGGGGGCTTTCAATCTGAAAAGGGTAATGACAGCACAAGAAAATTTAAGCAATGACGACAGCAGCCTAGAGCAACTTATTGACAGAGGCTTTGTATAATTTACAGAGTAAGGGAAAAGTAATCATAAATTATGTTGATTTTATCGTCGGTTTTCCACTAATTTACTGTTAAGTGCCGTTTCTTGTAGTGTGTGATGCACGGCGGTCAATCAGTCATTTCTTAAGGGCACGTGAAAATTCAGGTGCGTCCAACGTGCGTTGGTGGAGTAGTAGTTGCACGTTCGACTCGCATGTCAGAAGTCCGAGGCTCAAATCCCGCCACGGCCATTGGATATACACTGCTGATAAGCTCCAATAAGAGCGAAACTCGAGTCCAGTGCTTCTCTTTGGTGCGGACTCACCGGAATAATTACGCCGTTCAAACCAGAGTGGGGTGACTACGAACACTTTATTTCCCCAGGAACTATATGAGTTCGAGTTCCGTTTGACAAAGCGGTGACAAAGCATCACCGCATCTTAAGGGTGAACGGATGATCGGACAACTGGACAATTATATAGGGGGAAACCAATAGAATAACTTTCTACTTAAGCTGTCTTCTCACGGCAGATCCACGCCTTCGAATACTCCCCCAGAGAGCACAGAACAGTTCAGATGCATTTCGACGTGAAAAGAGATGAGCGTCTTCTAAATGTGAGGCTCTGATCCTTTAATCTTTCCCTCTCAGGGCGCTGCTGCTGAAGGGATTAGCACAAAGTATCGACCTTATTGACACCAATAAATCCGTTCAGCATATTCAATTCGACTTCCGAAGTCAGAATGCATTTCCGGTGCGGTTCGTTGTTGAAAGATACCCGCAAAGCTGACTCAATGATAAATGAAACTAATTACAAAGTTGCTGAAAACTCTTTGACAGCCCACGACCGGTTTCGTCCTTCATGGGACTCAGCTAATGTTCGAATAAAGCAATTTCCCCAAGATACAGATAATCGGAGTTAAAGGGAGCAAAATGAGATTGGACAGAACTATGCATTTTCGTGCCTGGGCTAACTAAGCTGTTCTCAACATCAGGGTAAGGTTGATAGGTTTGACCAAACTCATTTGAAGGGCAAACGTTAATAAAGCAGGTGTGGTTCCCTATCGCAGTATATTTCCGTAGAGAAAACTACCCACAAGGCTGCTGAAAACTCTTTGACAGCCCACGACCGGTTTCGTCCTTCATGGGACTCAGCTAATGTTCGAATAAAGCAATTTCTCCAAGATACAGATAATCGGGGTTAAAGGGAGCAAAATGAGATTGGACAGAACTATGCATTTTCGTGCCTGGGCTAACTAAGCTGTTCTCAACATCAGGGTAAGGTTGATAGGTTTGACCAAACTCATTTGAAGGGCAAACGTTAATAAAGCAGGTGTGGTTCCCTACAAAAACCTTAGAGGCTTGACAAAAATTATTTGGTTAGACATAGAAGTAATCTAGAAATTTTCCTCATTGCCTGACAAACTTTCGGATCGATAGCTGGACAAAATCAGAACAGGATATAGCATGGGTGAGTAGACAGGGCTCCACCTTTTCGGGTTGATGGGACCAAAGAGTAGTCGGTTGTTTTAATACCGCTGATTGAGTGACTGTCAGGGGCTAATATTGGTTAGTGGACTGAGCAGAGCTGCCAGTGGTTCATTCAGCCGAATTTGATGGCCTTGTCAGATGACTGTACTAATGCTTGTCAGTTAAACTACAGTCATTGAGGCATGCCAAAGCTAGCGGAAGCTGATATAACAGTCAGTTAGTGGGCGAATGATGATTTGGTGGAGGCGTAAGTAAGGCTAACAAGTGAGTTGGAAAGGCTGGCAGTACAAGGTCATTTTAGAGAATATTAATCGTTCAAATGGTTTGGTACAAACCGTTTGGTTTGATAGTGACGAATGCTCCCCAGAAGAACTGTTATAATTGCATGCAGAATTGTTTTCCATCCTGATCAGTCACGATAGTTTAAAAGCTGTACCCATGCCTACGAGTGAACAGTCGGGAGTTGCAGGAGGGGGGTGATGTTTCCGTACTGCAATACAAAAAAGGTGATTGACTGGAAGCGCTCAAGCGAGGGGATAAGTTGCTTATCATTATCGTATCTAAAGATGGATAACGTTAGCGCTCACCTGGAAATAAAGGATAATGGACCATATAAGTCCCAAGACGATAGCTGGTTTCCCATCCACCACGTCTGATGAATTGATATTGACCAGTTTGATCTGGGAAGCAATGAAACACGATAGAGTACACTATGACTAGCAAGCTCAAGAAAGCACCCAGTCACATTTTCAGTGACCTCAAGAGTTGGGCGTTACTCGAGTGAGGGGTAGGCAAGTCACCAAACAACACCAAGCAGAGCAAAAGTTGTGATAAATTCACCAGGAATGCGCAAGAAACAAGTCAGATCAATTGTACCTATGAAAAAGCTTGAGATATTTGGTGCGCAAAGCAGTTCATGAGGCCTCGGACATCACGACCTGGCGAATCCTATGCTTGAATTGGTGCCGGTAGCTGAGAACTTCCGGTCAAATAAACAGAAAACCCACCAGTGTACATCGTCTTGTGACAATACAACAAACAAATACATAATGTAAACGACAAACAGGCGAATCTATGGATAGCATAACAGATATTACGGTAAGCGGGTCAAAGTATGGACGTGTCGATTTATTTGAAACAAGCGCGTACGAATCAATGGAGTAAAAATGCGGCGTCATAAAAATGCAGCATGAAATACGAGCCGCCTGTTTTTTCTTGACTTTCTGCTCTTCTGTTTAGCCTAGAGTATTCTTTTTCTAACAGGAATCAGGCGGCTATTCACAGAATTTATTATTCAAGTTTCTGTCTTCGTTGTGTGGAAAAATACTGGATCATGATTTGGCTTTAAGACGATTCCCAATTGAACGGAAATAGCAGCACGGTCCATGGAGGGCAGTGTCTTCTGTAGTCCATGATTGGCACGTAGCGTTTTCGAATACCTCTCACGAATGAATGCACAAAGTATGGCTCCAGATTCCACCATATCGTTCATCCGTAACAAGCTTTCTGTGCCTAACTGCCATGCCACTCGAAGGAAGCACAAGGGCTAGGCTACTATCAGGTTGCCCGAGCCTAGACAGGGGAATTCGAGAGGCAGAGGTCGGTTCGAACTACAGACCTTCCGGTCAGTAAATCCGTGCTCTAACCACCGAGCCATCTTCAGCCCACTGGAGATAGCGAAGGACATACTTCAGCTCCATACAGGATGAATGCATATCCGTATCGGACTGAAAACCGCATGTCCCAAAAAGAGCCGGTGGTCTCGTTAATTAGGCAGTACGAATTGAGGAATATTGATGCTGAAATGTCAGTCTTCTTATATCCCCTTGGCAGGTGAATGAAGAAAGACAAGCCTCAGGTTTCCTGCTAGGGCAGTCAGCCTTGAGTATCCCATATGCTTAAACAAAAAAGATCTACCTACCAGAGAAATGAACCGCCAAACTATAAGATATCTTCACTTGTTAATTTGGCCACAAAATATCATCTTCTGTGGACAAGGCACTGTGGTTCGTACGTACTCAGATCAACCAAAGTGGTTTTGCCATGTTTATTTGCTTGAAAATCAGCGAACCTCGGAGCATGCAACCCTCAAAAAACAGGCTGATCTACCTGTTTTACAATAAGACCACTCAGTAACTGGTTATCCACGGCACTCGCCCCAGAAAACCGTGTTACAATTCTTTCTGATCATTCCCAACACACTAAAAGATGAAGGGCATACGCTCAGAAAGCAAACACCCCAAAAGTCACAATCGCCTTCCTTATAAAATTCAACAATCGAGAAATCAGTTAGCATCACATCACGTGGGGTCATCTGATTGTCACCACATCCCGTCGGAATGAAAGTAAAACCATCTGTAGACAAATGGCTGTGTTCATATGGTGTCCCTATGGCTTCCGGGTCGACTCTCCTTAAACTTAGCGAGAGGCGCACTGTTGATGAGTCCCAACGAGGATAAAACAATCGTAGAATACCATACAGCCTCTTCAGCATCAGACAGTTTCAAGAGGAAAGTCAAAAGTTTAATTTGTCACTTCACTCAATACTACTTGGTCACTTCAAGAACATTTATCATGAAAGGTGAGCATCAATCTAATTATGCCGTCTTACGTCAGCAAAACGACCATTATAAATCAATAAATATCAAACATAACACTATAAGATATTTTCCGAACAATCAGAAAAATCGCAAAAAAAACTTGTTACCTTGCACTTTTTTGTCAAATAATCCAAGGCATTTCGGACGTTACTCAGTTTATGAGCCCGTTGGAGCACACGAGGACTTTCAATATGCTGTTTGCCAAGAACAGAAAAAATGATAAAAGGGTTGAAATCCAAACGCTTTACATAGCATTTCTATCGCTAGCTAGACTATCAGCCTCATCACATTTGAATGTCGGATTGGACTTGAAGTCAGCTGCCTAGCCTGATATGAATCGATTGATCGTATACTGAGAACCTGATTGTAGGCAGGGGAGATAGTTTGAAGTTTTCATCCTCTAAGTAAAGTCAATCTAGAACTGAAAAGCTGTTTCATCCGAAGTGAGAACAATTGGCGGTGCGTCGATCGCGCAGATCTTCAGAAGAACTCAGCATCTAACAATTCGACTACTGCCATGCCATTAGGTAGTGAGCGACTAATCAACACGGCTAGCCACAATGGTAATCAGCTGGTCCTCGGCTTTTCAGTACGGACTGACTCCATTTTCAGGATGAAACTGCGATCGAAAATTCAATACCTCTATGCTCCTTGAGGGCATTCAGAAAAAAAGGGGCTCACAAGTTGTATGACATGAAATCATTCAACAATGGATCACGTCACGACGCAGTGTGTGGATGAATGATGGTAGGGCTATATCCTGTCCAAGTGCGAGTTAATCACGTGACCAGTAGCCAGCTGATAACAGCAGAAGAGTGGTTTCAAATCTCACCACAGATCCGATAGATGC